TAATAAGCTCAAGTCCTTAGTGGCCAACGACTAATGAGTTTTAAAAGGTTTGTGTTTGTGTAGTGAGGAATTAGTAATTTGTGGGCTAAGGAAAGGATGATGAAATACTTTACCTTATCTTGATTAGGGGGTTTTTTCCCTTAAGAATATTTTTAAGTGTATGCTAAATCAAGATGCTCAAATCACTTAGGTGAATTCCAACTAACTATATGCAATGCAACCCTGGGATTAAAAGCAACTACAAAAGGATGCAAAAAAAAAAAATCTTTTTATTTTTTTAATTAGGATTAACAATCAAACAAATGTGAGAAAGAGAGCCCTTGTTTGAGATTATTATCTTGTTAGTAAATGTCCAAGTAGAGGGTGAATTTTATTATGGTTGACAAAAGTAAAAAATTTTCTTTTTTAGATCCTAATTGTCTCTACTTGTGAGGAACAAACTAAAAGGGTGGAATTAAAAATACTAGAACGAAGAGTTACCAAAAGCAAATATTCAAATATTTAATCTTCAATCCTTAATCTTCAATCTTCAAAGTGGTTTCATCATAAGAAAACACACAAGTTAAAAAACTAAAATAGAAAAATCCTACTTATTAGCACCTTCCCTTGTCGACAACAACAAAAACTTGATGTGGTTGTTTGTGAATATGTCGAGATTAAAAGTGTACAATCAAGTTATAGTATAGAAAAATGTCGAATCCCACGAGGAAGGTGTTGTAGGAATTAATCAAAAGTGAATCTTAATTTGTGTTCTTAAGTTGTGTGCATGACAATTAGGAGTGATAAATATATTATTGTGGAGAGATAAAGAGAGTGGATGTGAGTATATGTAAATAAAAAAATAGATTAATAGTGGAGAAAGAAAGATGAAGTAAATAAAGGAAAACAAATCAATAAACAAATAAGAGAAAAATCAAGAAAGTAAAAGATAGGATTCAATTAAAGATATGAGGAATCTAAAATTGAATCCACTAGCCAATTTTAACTATAAATTATGGATTATCCTCTTTTTATCACATTTTATTTTATATTTATTAAGCATAGACTAACAAACCACTTAAGGAAAGCATAACCTATCAAATTATCACCTAAGATAAATTAACATTTATGAAAAGAACAACAACTAGATAGTAATTCTAGAATTCCTCCTACCAATTAGTTTTCTAGTTAATTACCCAAAACATGATCATTTTAAGCACAAGAGAGTAATTCAAAATTCATAAAAAAATTCAACTAGTTTCATGCAATTCTAAAATTCCTACAAGAATTAGTTCCACGTCTTAGAAATAAAAACAAAGAAATAAAATAGAGAGAATAAAAATTCTAAAGAGGGTTCTAGCCTCTAAGTAAGAGAATAAAAATAAAAACGAACTCCAAAGAGGGTTCTAACATCTAATTGAGAGAATGAAGGAAAAGAATGAACAAAAATAAAAACTAATTCTCAAGAGGGCTCTAGCCTCTTAGCGAATTGTGCAAGAAAATAAAATCTAAACTATATAAAAAAATAAATTTATACTACAAAATAATTATAAGAAAATAAATCTACTCTACAAGGCATGAAAATAAAGCTAATTCAATAGGGTTCTAGCCCATTGAATATCTAAAGCAAGAAAAGAAAATATTATAAGAAAATTAAAAAAATAAAATAGAAAATTTACATTCTAAGAGGGTTCTAGCCTCTTGATGAAGGTAAATTTTCGTCTTCATCATCATCTTCATGTCAAGTTCATCTTCATCATCAAACAAAGAGAAGAAAAGAAAAATATGAAGATGTGAAAAAAATATTTTATTAATTACAATAAAGTTATAATTTTAAAAAGGTCGTCTCAATTAAGAGTAAACCTCCACTCCAAATGAAGTTTTTATAAAAATTTTCACACTCAAACCTCTCACCCTCTACCCCTATTTATAGCCTATAGCAAACAACAAGAACCAATGGATTTTTCTTGGGCTCCAAGGATTAAACCTTAGCTATAAAATAAGTTTGTTACGAATTAATCGGTTGACCAACTAATTGGAATTCGAAATTTTTGAAAATGCTGTTAACTCTGTCTCGTCAAGATAAACAATTTTCATATATTATATGTTAAATTCCGCCTTCCGTTTTGAGAGATATTGTTATTTTTTTGTGGCTAATCATTTTAGACATGATTTTAACTTGATTTCTTTTCATATTTGATCCTTATTTCTTCAGCTTCTGTAAATTGTTTGGCTTGATCCCAGGCTTCAATAAAATATTAAAAAATAAAGAAAATTGAGTTCTTTTTGTGCTTTTATTTATTAGTTCTTCATTAACCTGTAAATTAAAATAAAACATGCTTATTAGTGATTATTTTATTTAAACAAAATAGATAATAAGGATATTAAAATGTGATTATCATCCTCGTCTGTCAAGTCAGTTTGTAACTTTATGACTCTTACTCTCCTTCTTCTTTTGCTTTCTATTCAAGGGACATTGATTTTTGTGATGACCTAGTTTCCTACAATAAAAACAAATAGGATCAGTTTCATTATCACTTAAAGAATTATTATTTACCTATTTAGTAAATTAATTTCATCTTTTCTAAAGATATTTTTGTCCTTCTTTAATTTCAGAAGAGACTCAAACCCTTTTATAATAAGCGCAGGTTGATCATCTTCATCATCTGCACTTGATCCTGAATCTATCTTCTTCTTTGATTAGGATTTTTCTCTCTTTGTATGTAAGGCTATGACTTCTTCTTTGAATATTCTTCTGAGGCATCTTTGCTTTCTTTAAATCAGACTTCATAAATGATGAGATTGCCTACAAGATTATCAACAGTAAGTTTAGAAAAATTCTGAAGTTTATCTATTGTCATTACCTTTAGTTCTCAATCATAAGATAGAGAATAAGGTATTTTTTTACAAAGCTCCTTATTATCATACTCATTCCCTAGTGCTTTTGACTTGTTTACGATATCGGTGAATCTTGAGAACATCCTCTGTATGCTCTCAGAGGCCTTAATCTTGAAGATCTCATACTTGCTCACCAGCATAGCAAGCTTAGCCTCTTTAACTTGCGAAGTTCCTTTGTGTGTAACTTCTAGTGTTTTCTAAATTTTCTGTGTAATAGAACAACTAGAAACACAGTTAAATTCTTCAACATTTAGAGAGCAATATAAATCATTCATATTTTTTGTAATATAAGAGTAAATTTATTTATACTGTGGAGTCCACTTATCCTCGGTTAGAATAATTGTAACTCTCTCTACCTCAGTAGTAAACTTCTTATACCCATGTTCTACACTCTCCCAAACATCTAAACTAGTGGATGATCGAAAAAATTTCATAAGTGCTTTTCAATATGTGTAATTGTTGTCATCAAAAAGTGGGGGTTGGTTGACGATGTGTGCTTCAGGAAAAGCTAAAACAGTAGTAAGGCTTGACATCTCTACCCTAGATGGTGATACCTAAATATGGGTAACAAAGCTCTAATACCACTTATTAAAAACAAGTTGCAAGCCTTAAGGGGGGTGCACAGGATTGCTACAGATTTTTCAGATAGACACAAAATATGTAGTGGAAAATATGAAACAACAAACTAAGAACAATCTATACAGTAACACACGGGATTTTTATAGTAGTTCGGATCAAAATCCTATATTCACTCTTGTTTTTTTGCGAAGGGCCTTTTTTTATTATGATCGGAGTTATCCCCGAATCACTCGATTCAGTAGGCTTTAACAAACTGGATCCCAGAATCTACCTGAAATCAATCGAGGTACTCAGCTCCTCACAATGACCAGAAGAAATCTAGCCCTAGCTAGCCACACTCAATAATCCTAGCTTGACCACGCCAACCATCCATTACCCTGAGTTGAGTATGTCATCAAACTCTCAAGTTTGAAATAAAAAACCAACCCTCAAATAGTTAAAGCATAATTAAAAAGATCTTTCAGCCTTTTAAAATAAATCCTACTTAAAATCGATGTTGATGATGATCCGAGAAGAAGTAATGTTGAAGTTGAATGCAGAGGGCACTCGTCTTCATTGAAACGGTCTCTCGATATTGAGTGCGATGAGAAGAAGTTGAACGGGGCTCAAAGAATCAAATTTTATCACACAATCTCTCTCAAACCCTAGAATTTGATCTAACGAACTTGTGCAAATATCCTATCTCTTTCTTATTATAAATCTGTTCTCCAATCTCACATTAAATGGCCCTAATTGCATTGGAAAGAAGTCATCTAATCAGTGTTAAAATAGAAGATAAAAAATCTACGATCAAAAGGCTGAGATTGAACCTAAAATTCTACCAAAATGCATCCAAATCATCGATGGTTGATGCCGATTATCATCGACGGTTCCCTGTAGTCTATCGATTGTTCAAATTCTGGTTTTTGAGATTCACAGATTGTTTAATGTAGTACTTCAATGGTTGATTGTAGTCCATCGATGACTTGATTTCTCATTTCTAGAAAATATAAATTATTGACTGTAGTCCATCGATGACCTATGGACCATTGATTGTTGCCTCGTGACCATCAATGGTTAATGGCGGAAATCAACGATTAGTGTTGATTTTTGCATCATTTTGAACCGAAACTTTTTCATGCCTGTTTATTCCTAAAATATATCATCTCACAAACTTATTAGTACCAAATAAGAGTTTGTTATTGATCAATAGATATCGCATGAACATCTCTACTCCCTGAACAATGTTCTAACACTATGACTTCCCAAGACAGAATAGTTACATTCAAAAGTTACGCATATCTACAAACATGACTGTCTTCTCCTGTAGAGAACCTTTCTTGGCTTAAGAAGTTCTGATGGCTTCTTCCAGTTGCACAAAGTAACATACAAAAAGCCATGTCCTGCATTTTCTTCCAGTAACCAACAAGGGAAACAGTTACTTGAATCAACATTCAATGCCCTTCAAGCCACTTCACGTCATCTGATATCAGAGGCATCATTTCAAATATGGATGCCGATATGGAACCGATGTTATGAATAATATTGAATTTTGGCACTTGCAGGGATTTGTCCTACAACAATGAACTTGGTGGTTCACTTACTTCCAACATCGGTAGCCTGGCGCAACTCACCACCCTGTAAGTCCAGTAGCCTTGCCAATATAAAGATCAGTTATATTAGTTTCTACTTAAGCAAGCTACTGAACCAACTTTATTCAGAATTTTATCAGGCTGCGGTTTCACTGGCAACATTCCACAAGAACTAGGGAACTTGCCATTGATTTCATTTGTGTAAGAACTACTTACTTGCACTCTGCAGAGCATTATCTCTGTTGCCAGGATTAATTAGTTAACTCAACTGAATGAAGTTTTTTCTCTTTCGATGATGGTTTCAGGGCTTTAAACTCAAACAAGTTCAGTGGCAGGATTCCTCCTTCAATTGGTAAACTTTCCAATGTATACTGGCTCGACATCGCAGACAATCAAATAAGTGGGCCTCTCCCTATATCAAATAGCAAGTCACCAGGCTTGGACCTTCTCCTCAATGCTAAGCATTTGTTAGTAGTTTCTGCTCAGCTGAAGATATTAACTTGAACTAAATACTCCCTTTTGAATTATGAATAATTCTTCTCTTTATTTGGCGATGAGTAGCCATTTCAACAAGAACCAGTTATCGGGTACAATTCCAGAGAAACTCTTCAGCTCACCAATGCAACTGATACATATGTAAGCTTCTTTGACTCCATCCTTCTCTCCCTGTTCACAAACGCATAATCTCCTTGTTTTAATTGAGCTCATGTTTTCAGACTTTTCGATGCAAATAACTTTGTTGGAGAGATTCCAACCTCGGTTGGACTTGTTCAATCGCTTGAAGTTCTGTAAGCGTTTACTTACCAGATCGAGCCACACTTTTCCTTTTTCATTTTGTATGAAATTTGTGAAGAGTTCTGATTCCAAACTTTGTTCCTGTAACAGGAGAATGGACAGGAATTTCCTAAATGGTGTAGTCCCCTCCAGCATTAGCAATCTCACGAGCCTTAACGAACTGTAAGTAATTCCTATATCAATTACTTCATCACGTTTCCTTTTTGTAAATATATCTACTCTTTTCTTTCAGAAATTTAGCAAACAACAAACTGTCCGGACCGATGCCAGACTTAGAAGGAATGAACAATCTCAACTATGTGTACGTAAGAGTCTCATTCGAATACTGTGATAAATATGCTGCAGCCCTGATTCGTTCTAGTACTTGAGAATAAATAACTATTTCATCAAACATGAACAGGGATTTGAGCAACAACACGTTTGATGCAGCAGAAGCTCCATTTTGGTTCTCAACAATAGAATCTTTAGCCGTTTTGTAAGTTAAAGAGAGCCACTTGTTTTAGTGAAGTAACTGTAAACATTGTTCACCTTATTAACAGCTTTTTTATCATTTGGATTTCAGAATGGTAGAATCTGGAGGGATTTATGGGGATATCCCTCAAACATTGTTCAGTATTACAGGTCTAGAGCAAGTGTAAGCATCAAATAACCAAAAAGGCTCCCTCAGTATGGCTTGGTTTAATCTTTACACTGATGTACTGATGAATCTTGCTGCAGACTACTAAATGACAATGCCTTCAACGGCTCCCTCAATATGGGCAACAGCATTAGCTCGAACTTACAGATTGTCAATTTTCAGAACAACTCTATCTCCGAGGTCACGCTAAGCGACTCTTACAATGAGACCCTAATGTAAGTAAAATAATAATAATAATAAAAGCTACCAAATTTCAACTACATGTGATTTTCTTATGTTCTTGGTGACCACAGACTTGTCGATAATCCTGTGTGCAAAGCCCAGCTTGCAAATACTGTCTACTGCCAACTTCAACAACGGAAACCAACTCCTTATTCCACAAGTCTTACGAAGTGTAGCTCAAAGGCTTGCCCTCTTGGTCAGAGTATAAGCCCTCAAAGCTGTGATTGTGCATATCCATATGAAGGGGTGCTAATATTTAGAGCACCTTTCTTCAGGGATGTAACAAACAGTTCACTGTTCCAGCAACTTGAGATGAGCCTTTGGACAAAGCTCAAACTTACTCCAGGATCGATCTACCTTGCAAACCCCTTCTTCAACAGTGATAACTATCTCCAGGTGCAGGTCAAGCTCTTCCCATCAAATGGCATATACTTCAACCGAGCAGAGATTCTAAAAATAGGAGGTGACCTTAGCAATCAACTTTTTAAACCACCTGCTGTTTTTGGACCGTACTATTTCATTGCATCTCCCTACCCTTTCCCAGGTATCTCATCTATTCCCCTCTGATAAAACTCCATTGCTTTGTTCATGGAAACTGACGAGGGAACATTTTAGATGGGAATGCTAAAGGAAGCTCAATGAGTAAAGGAGCAATTGTTGGAATAACAATTGGATGTGTGGTGCTTATCATCGGATTACTAGTTGTTGGGATTTATGCTTTCAAACAGAAGAAGAAAGCTGAAAGAGCTATCCTATTAAGCAAACCATTTGGTATGCATCCCATATACTGAATGACTTGCGATTCTCTTAGCATACATCCATTAGAGGAAAGCCTGAAGCATGATATTGCATTCATGCATACTTGGGACACAGTCAAAAACCAACGTGGCATCAAGAATTATATTCCAGTTATTTGCTACAGTATTTAGACATACTCACATACTATATTAATCTAACAAAACAAAGCCATATTACATAAGAAACTTCTCATCCTAGGTTAGCATAAATATTTCACTGTGGGAGATGTACTCATATCTAATGCTGGATACTTGAATACCTTATGAGTACTTGTCCATAGTTCTATACATATCCAAAAAAAGGGCAATGAATCCAAATTAAAACATAGCAAAGACATATTAGAGATGTAACATAGCCTGAAAAACTGCAAGGTCATTCAATTTATCGATACATCTGATATAACATGTCCACTTAACTTGAATCACCTTTTCAATGACCTGACTCACTGTAACTTTTTTTAACCACTATAGCCTTTAGAGTCCATTACAAATGTCTAAATCTCATTTTCCCGTGCATACTTTTTTATTATCATATCCACAATGCATATGTATCGTGGATTTTTATTTAAGGTTGTCATATCCATGTAAGTTGTTGTGTTCGCACCTTGATAGTATCAAATCCTTATCAGCACAACCTAGTTCTTAATTATTTACGTCCTCAACAAGATATCTATTCCTCACAACTGAATTGCCATTGTTTTTTAAACATTGTCGGCCATATTTTTAAAGGTCTTTAGTAATTTACGGTTTGCTTTCTAGAAAAGAATAAGTTAGATACTACGTTCTGTTTGATGATGATATTTGTAATTTGCACTTTAGAGCTCAAAAGTATCTTTAAAGTAGCAGTAATCAGATTTCCAGTTACATGTCTCTCATTGACATGTCAGTAGGGGCATAGCCAGGAGTTTATAAAAGTTGGGTCACACAAACACACGCATCCGCACTCACACACATATATAAAGATATTATTAAATTTTTTATACAATCGGAACTTTAATGATATACAAAAAATAAATTTAACTCAAGTTAATTATAATTGACCAATTGTTGCATAATAGTCACACTCGAAATACTTAATACATCATTTTCTCATGCAAGTTACAAATTAAATTGCGGTTCATTTATTTTGTCATCTTTTTTCTTTTTAAAAAAACTGATGCTAGCTCATTAACATATGGTACCTCGGAATTGAGCCTTTTTAAATTAACCAATTATCTTTATACAAAATCACTTTATTTAAACTTTGGATATCAAAGTTAAAATGGGCTAGTCATTGATTTAAATGGTATTACTTTGGAATTAAATTTATGAATTAACCTATATAATTAAGTCAGGAATTAACATACATAAATGAAATTAAGGCATATATAAGATGGTGGTGTCATATATGTGCCTCCGCCCCCGCATATCAGCTCAGTACAAAAACTCCAGCTGACATAGGCTAGAATATTTAACAATAAAAATACTTTTCTATTCTCTCTATTCTTTTAAATTTGATGATTTTCGCAATTTTCAGCTTCATGGGGATCTGGAGGCAAAGATGCTGGTGGAGCCCCACAGCTCAAAGGATCAAGATGGTTTTCCTTTGAGGAACTTAGAAAAAGCACCAACAATTTTTCAGAGGCAAATGAAATTGGATCCGGAGGCTATGGAACGGTATGAATCCACAAGAAGACCTGAAAATACTGAGGTAATTTTTACCTAAACTATTGTTTGTATATACAACTCCAGGTCTATAGGGGATTGCTTCCAAATGGGCAAAATGTTGCAATTAAGAGAGCACAACAAGGATCCATGCAAGGTGGGCTTGAGTTCAAGACAGATATCAAATTGCTCTCCAGAGTCCATGCAAGGATCAATGCAAGGAGGGAGGCTGGTGCGTTTGAGGGAAGGCAATAAAGAGTTGGATGCAATGTGTCAGGTATAAAATCTCTTATATACTTTTATGATTGACTACTTGCACTTGAGAAAATGAGATTTTTACTTAATAGGATAATAATTTCTTAATTGATATTTCTTAATTATGTGATTTTTTTAAACTTTTCAGGCTATCCATGCAAGATTAGGAGGGGGTAGCTCGAGTCTTCTTTTGACGATGATTAGAAATAAAAGAATGTGTCTTTCCCAAACTTTTATTTTAATTTATTTTAGATAGTTTCATGTATTTTTCTTTGGAACAATTAGGATATTAACTCTTGTTATTAGTATTGAATATTTGAGGATGGTGGAATTTTATTTATTGATGTTATTAATGAATGAAATTTTTATTTTCCCTCTTATTCATTATTGGGTATTTTTAATATATTTTTGTTGTGAATCTTAGTGTCAGGTTGAGAATAATATGATAGTTGCCTATGAATGGAAATTTTATTATTAATGATTATTAGAAATTTATAGTCTACAATGACGGTTTTATAAACCGTATTTTGTTCATCAACGAAGGGAAAGCAATAGGGGATTGCTTCCAAATGGGCAAAATGTTGCAATTAAGAGAGCACAACAAGGATCCATGCAAGGTGGACTTGAGTTCAAGACAGAGATCGAATTGCTCTCCAGGGTCCATCACAAAAATTTAGTAGGCCTTGTAGGTTTTTGCTTCGAGCAAGGAGAGCAGATGCTTGTATATGAATTCATCCCAAATGGAACCCTGAGGGATAATTTGACAGGTATCCTTTGCTAGCTATAATTCAAACAATTCTATATACTTCCTCCTCCATGTATATGCATTAACGTGTTTGTTCCTCTACTACAACCCTGCAGGAAAAGACCGTATACGACTAGATTGGAAGAGGAGGCTAAGAATTGCCCTCGGCTCAGCAAGAGGACTTGCCTATCTTCATGAACTTGCCGATCCTCCAATAATTCATAGAGACATCAAGTCAACTAATATCCTTCTTGATGAAAATTTAAATGCCAAGGTTGCTGACTTTGGTCTCTCAAAGCTAGTTGCTGACACCAATAAAGGGCATGTTTCTACTCAAGTCAAGGGAACTCTGGTGAGTGTCTAACTTCATGTGTTCCCATCTTCCAAGCTAGAGAGTAGCCCAAGTCATCACGATCTAGTTTCTTTATTTCTCATGCTTAAATAATTGTTATAATACTAGTCCTTGTTTAGTTTTTAACTAAATATTAGCACTGTCTTTATCTACATTTCTAATGTTCCTACTATGACGTTAGTGGTATCTAGTAGCTAGTTCAGCAGAATAAGCAATACACACGCTAGATATTGTTCCCTAGCATAGATGAATTACTTTTTAATGATATAATACATTGATTTTTCATCCTTACAGGGTTATTTAGATCCGGAGTATTACATGACTCAACAGTTGACAAATAAAAGTGATGTCTATAGCTTTGGTGTCGTCGTGTTGGAGCTGATAACTTCAAAGCAGCCGATAGAGAAGGGGAAATATATTGTTCGTGAGGTAAGAATGGCAATGGATAGTAATGACAAACTGTACTATGGCCTAAAAGAGATAATGGATCCTACGATCAGAGATTCACCAAATATTCCAGGTTTCAGAAGATTTGTAGAGTTGGCAATGCAGTGTGTAGAAGAGACAGCTTCGGATAGGCCTTCAATGAATGAGGTTGTTAAGGAAATCGAGATAATGCTCCGAAATGAAGGGTTATTCTCAAGCTCAAATTCAAACACAAACTCTACAACTTCATCAGCAACAGACCTTGGGTATGCAAAGGGTGCTATTGATCTTTATAGTGAATCAGTGATGCCAAAGGATGACGTTGATGATGCATTTGAGTAAAGTGGCAGGCCATCATTTGTACACAAGTCAAGCCAAAATAGTTTTTCGTATTTTTTTATTTTTTTTCATTCCAATATTTGTTGGTAAATATTTGTTGAGGTTTTCTGAGAAATTTGACCAAGGCTGTTTCTGTTGCATGGACCCACTTAAGTAGTTGTTCCTTCTTATTCCCCTTCGCTCTTCTCAACACGAAGACGTATCTGCGCTTGAATTAGGGAACTTACTAATTTCAATTTCCACATGCTAAACATCAGGCATTCATATATTTTGCATCAACGTTATGTCTTCTTTTCTCAAAAAAATAAAAGAACATATAATCGCCGTATACAATGATTGGTATAGTAACATACTTACCTATAACGTCCTAGTAGTTAGTACCCTATGCCAATATTGTTGAAAAAGATAGAAAATCGAAGCAAAAAGTAGCTATAGGATTTCATTCTGGTCGGTTGACCGACCAAAGTCAACCAGTCGACCGACCAGAAGCAGGTTTTGTGTGCAGGAATCATGCACGTGATCAGTCGACCGATGGAGTGGAACGAGTCGACCGATGAGCATCCACCAGTCGACTGATGAACTTCCATGAGTCAACCGAAATCGGGTAATTGGGCCAAGTTGGTTTCCCAGTCTGTTTTGGTTTGGGTTTTGATATAAATAGAAACACGTTTTCTATGGTTTTGTAAGAGACGTTTATCAGAAAAAGATTGTTTTGAGCACTTTATGAGGGAGATTATTGTGAGGGAGTGAGACATTATTGATTACAGTTATTTTGAGAGTTTGTGTGAGTTGTAACCCGTTGTTTTCTCCTCCATATAGTGAAATCTCCTCATCCTCTCCCCGTGGACGTAGGCAATTTACCGAACCACGTAAATCTCTGTGTTTGTGTGTAATTTTGGTCGTTCTTTTGTGAATCGCACTCGTTGGTTGTTCTCCTCTCATTGCTTGATGACTCGTTTGGTTTGTATGCACGCTTCCGCTGACGCTCAACAATTGGTATCAGAGCTCTAGGGTTTCAGACCTAGGATTTGTTTAAGATGGAGGAAATTCGTTGTTCGAAGCTTAGATCTTGGAGTTCTAGGCTTCGGTGGAGATAGTGTTGCAGAGTTACCATTGGAGATCTCACCTTCCTCGTGTTGTATGGAGTTCGTGTTAGAATCCAATGTAGGGTTCAAGTTGGGTAATTTCTCAATTCTATCAGTTGCTCGAATTTTCTCTATAATTCAGAGTTAGCAAGCAATTGCAGAGGATAGTGATGAAAGCAGCAATGCTATGATGAGTATAGTTCAGGATCAGTGTTGTGAAGTATGACAGCAAGATCAACTTTGGGTTGTGGATGAGTGATATGCAGGATGCACTGAATGCTCAAATTTTGAAAGAGACCATCATGGTCCATTAGAGGCCACTGAAATATGATGAGCTGATATGTGTGAAGATGAATCGAAATATATGTGGGGTGATTAGATCTTGTTTGGAACAAGAGTTAAAGTACAATGTTATCGGCGTAACGTTTGCGATGAAGATGTGGGAGATTCTCAATAACAAATATCTTACGAAGAGTATTGAGAACCGTTTACACTTGCTACGAAGATTGTTCAAATTCCAGATGTCCAGGGGTACCTCACTTGCAGATCATGTGAACAACTACATAAAGTTGTTGTCGGACTTGACAAATATGGATGAGAAGATATCGGATGAGTACAAGGCGATCATCTTGTTAGGCTCCTTACCCGATGAAGAGTATGATACCTTCGTGCTCACTTTGTTAAATGGTAGATCTTCCATCACCTATAGTGAAGTGACTAACGCGTTGACGAATTTTGATTTGAGGAGGAAGGATAAAGAATCTTCCAGAGCTAGCACTTCATGAAAGGCCTTGTCGATGTGAGGAAGGAGTCCATATCCAAGGTGGTAATCGAGTCAGGACAAAGTCTAGAGGCCACTACCAGATTTCAAAGAACCAGTGTGCCTTTTGTAGAGAACAAGGACATTGGAAGAGAGATTTCTCGAAGCTCAAAGAGAAGAAGAATAGCAAGAAGAAGGGGCCGAAGGCCAGCGAGGTGAATGTCGCTAAAGATGGTGATGATTCAGATGATTCATGCTTTTCTCTATTGATTACTTAAGAGGTTAACTATGCGTATGCATCGGATTGGATACTAGATTTTAGTGCTACTTATCATGTGACTCCCCGGAGAGATTGGTTTGCATGTTTCAAGAAACATGATGGGGGTGTGGTGGTCATGGAAAACGACCAGTCCTGTGGTATTTGTGGGATAGGTACCATCAAGATTCGGATGCACGATGAAGTTGTTCGAGAGTTGAATAAAGTGAGATTTGTTCCTCAGCTGAAGAAAATCTTATTTCTGTTGGAGCTTTGGAGGCAAAGGAATTCAAGGTAACTTTTGAGAGTGTTGTAGCAAAAGTTACTAAGCAATCTTTGGTAGTGATGAAGGGAATCCGTAGTAGGAATCTTTATTATCTGAAGGGAAGTACTAAGATTAACCATGTAGCTTCAACAGTTTTAGAGACGGATACGAGCAGACTTTAGCACTACAGATTAGGGCACACAGAGAAAAAGTCACTGCAGGTTTTGTGCAAGCAGGGGCTATAAAAGAGAGCCAAGAGTGGGAAAGTTAAATTCTGTGAGCACTGCGTTCTTAGCAAGAAGACTAAAATAAAGTTTGGGATATCCATTCATAGGACAATTAGTATCTTCGACTACGTGCATATAGATATTTGGGTCCCACCAAGATGGCATCACTTGGTGGTCGACATTGGTTCATCACGTTTGTAGATGAATACTCTAGGCGTTGTTGGGTGTACACCATGGTAAAGAAGAAAGAAGTCCTAGAGATATTTGTGGAGTAGAAGAGAATATTAAAACTGCAGATAGGGAGAAAGATCAACATGTTGAGATCCAACAACGGTGGAGAGTAGTATACTTCAGACCCCTTTTAGCAGCTATATCAAAACGAGGGCATAGAGAGACACTTCACAGTTAGTCACATGCCTCAGCAGAATGGGATGGCAGAGAGGTTGAATCGGTCTTTACTGGAGAAGGTCTGATATTTGTTATAGCACAGTGGTTTCGAGAAGATCTATTGGACTGAGGCACTTTCATATGCGAGCCACCTCATTAATAGGCTGTCTTCATCTACGATTGAGGGGAAGACCCTTATGAAGATGTGGTCGGGAGATCCAGCATACGACTATGATTAGCTCAAGGTATTTGGGTGCCCTACATTTTATCATGTTAAAACTGATAAATTAAAACCTCGAGCTACGAAGACCATATTTGTGGGATTCAAGCGTGGTGTTAAAGGATATAAGCTTTGGGATCCAGTTGAGAAGAAGATTGTGCTGAGTAGAGACATCACTTTTGATGAGGCTTCGATCTTGAAGCTTTCCAGCTCTCGTCAGGTGGAGAGCACCCCGATATTAGAGACATTGCAGATAGTGGAGATTGATGCAGCTCCACGGTGTCCAGATAGGACCATATCCATTAGCGTGCCGACTGAGTTAACACCAGACGAGCACAGTGATGATTTGGAGGATACAAGTTTAGTAGAGCATGATCAGGAACCAATGACTCAAGTTTAGGATTCTATTGTGGTTCAGAGACCGAGGAGAGACTTATGGTTGTCAGCAAGGTATACAAATACAATGATTGCGTACGCACTTCCGAGAGAGAGTGTCGATGAGATGGTTCCTACTACATTCAGAGAGGTTGAGCAGAGTTCAGAGGCTGATTTGTGGAAGGAGGCTATGCGAGAGGAGATGGAGTCTTTTCATAAGAACGACACATAGGACCTTGTCGAGCTTCTAAAGGGGCGGAAGACAATTGGTTATAAATGGGTGTATACCAAGAAGGAGGACATTCAGAGCACTCGAGTGAGGTTCAAGTCTAAGTTGGTAGTGAAGAGTTATGCACAGGAAGAAGACATTAACTATAATAAGGTCTTTTCTCCGGTGGTGAAGCACTCTTTGATTTAGATCTTGCTAGCTTTGGTCGCACAGTATGGTTTGGAATTGGATCAGTTGGATGTCAAAATAGTTTTTCTTCATGGTGATTGTAAGCGTCAAAAATTGCCTATAGGTTCCTGCACACAGCTCAAAATGAAGAGAAGACGAAGAATGTTAATATCTAAGTCAAAGGGGATCATCCGAGACCAAAAAAAGCAAATGAATGCGTATGAAATAACAAAATCCACGAAATGACGGAACAGGACACAATCAGGAAGTCTCAAATTGACGAGTCACTTCAGAGTGACTCGTAAATGACGAGTCACTTCAAAGTGACCCGCAAATGATGAGTGACTTCAGAGTGACTTACAAATAACGAGTCACATTGAAGTGACTCGCACATACAGCCTACCGACGACGTGTTTTTCAATAAATTTCTCGGGATTTATTCAATCTACTACCTTGGGAACATCCCTAAACATGGTCAAGTTGTTTCTAACTAAAGACAATGCCAAATCACGAATTATTATCCATAAACATGACATCCGAAACCTATAAATACACCCTTAGCGTCCCTGTACATGAGTAATCTAGAATTTTGGACTTGGAGGCAAGTTGCTGACGTTTTGAGAGCAGATCTTACGAATTTTAGAGAGAGGGAGGCGAGATCTTGGCGAACTTCAGCATAAAGCAAGAGATTTCAAGAGATCTATAGCCTTTTCACCCTTCCCTTGAGATCAAACATCGATTTGATCTTGAGAAGAGTAGTAATCTTACCTTGTTGAGGTTATTTACTTCTGTTCTAGGTTTCCTCATTGAGACTAAAATACTACACCTTCTTCATGATCAATTTGGATCCGATACTCAGCGGTCCACGGATCAAAGTGTTCTCAGCACAGGTAAAGATATCACGCATGCAGCTACCGATAAACATTCTATGCGTGTGTTTTTAGGAAGTCTTCTTTTTATTTTATTTGTGTAAAGAAGTCTTATAAAAAGGCTCACTCTTTTGAATCTGTAATTCGGTAAAGGAGTTGTAATGGATGCCACAAATAAACTGATTTCTGACACAAACACGTTGACAACCATAGTGGGAGCCAACAGTCTCTCTGCCGAGGATGTCGTGTCACAACCAAAAATCAAGATTCCGGTTGATGA